GTTTTAGTCTTGGTTTTGAGCCATTTCTCGCACTTGATCTAATTTGGATCTCAGCTGAGACCCCTATTCTCCTTTAACTCATAAGCCAAGTTTCTTACATTCACAAAAATCACATGTTTTAGCTCTAAAAAGTCCTTTGCACACCTCTTTTGGATCTCATTCTATGCTCTTGTTTGTGGCGGTTGTAATTCCAGGGCACCTCTGTGTGCCCAAGCGACAAGTCAGAGAGAAATTCTCCTCAACATGAAACATCCAGCACAAGGTAGCTGATAAAAATAACTGGCCTAAAAAAAAACAGTGAGGCCTTGGCTGATGTGGCTCAGTGGATCGAGCACCAGCCTGCGAACCAGAGGGTCACTAGTTCAATTCCCAGTCAGGGCACATGCCTGGGTTGCAGGCCAGGTCCCCAGTGAGGGGGGCACGTGAGAGGCAACCACACATTGATGTTTCTCTCCCTTTCTTTCTCCCTCCCTTCCTCTCTCTGTAATAATAAAGAAATAAAAATCTTTAAAAATAATCTTCAAAAAAGTGAATTTTATAGCATGTAAATGATATCTCAAGAAAAGAATATGTCAGGAACTCCCACACGGGGAGGGTCCCAGGCCTCTTTCATTCTCTCTGTTCACTGGCACCTCTCCAGTGAGTGGCCAAGTGGGAATTTCGTCTCGGGAACATACGATTCCAAAGTCCCTTCTCTCTTGCCTCTGCCACACCCTGTTGGTACCATGTAGCCCGGTGCCAAAAAGCCATACTGAGTTTGAACTTGATCCCGTTGATAATTAAAGGTATTCGAGGTAGGAAAAGGGGCATAATTCAATTTTTGTTTTAGAAAGATAATTCCTAGGAGATTTATGTGACAATTCTCTGTTCGAACTAATCACGGTAGATAAAAATATCAAGGGAGGGTTTTTTCTGGGTTGACTGTAATAATTTGATTAGTTTTGTTTTTAATCTTGGCTGAACTATCAGCCTCTATAGGAACCCTAGAGAGCAGTGTAATTTTTTTCTCTCAATTTTTGAACAAAACCAAGCAAACAAAAAAGCCAGGCAGGCTAGTGCATTTGGAGACTGATTTCCATCGCCGAACAAAAGGCAGGTGGGGGCAGAGAAGAAGCAGGTGGGCGATGTTTGCCTATGGAAAGTCAGCCCGCCCTCAGTGAGACACTGAAGTCGCGTTTCTCTGCTGCACAGCACAGCCGGCCACGTGCCAAACTCTACTCTGGCCCATCCGTGCCGAGCGGTGCTGAGCAAACACTCCCGCATTCCGGCCAAGCTATGAAACCTCGGGGTGGGGGGGGTGGGGGGACAGAGACCTATGGGGGGGGAGGTTTGCCATTGTGAGAGCCTGGAACACAGAGTTTATCCTTGGATTGTTGTTTATGAATTACTGCATTATTTTCCACACAGACACCAAAAATCTACAGTTGCCCCCCGCAACCCCCTCTATGTACAAGGAACATGATCAGACACTGGGCTTGTCTTCTAGGGCCACCGTCATTCAGGGCCGCAGACCGGGGGGCTCTGACAACGAGCATCTGTTCTGGCCAAAGTCCAAGAGAAGGTTCCAAAGGGCGGACGCACACCACACTTTGTGCCCCCGTCACCCACTGACGGGCCTTTGCAGATCTTTCCCACCAGAGGCAAAGCATCGCGGATGGGGCTGCAGCCCTGTTCCCACCCCTTTCCCTCCTCCCTCCCCCAGAAGTGACCCTGCAGTGACTGGGTCCCCTTCCTGGCCATGGTTTTTGTTTTGTTACATACTGACGTTCCCCCAAACCACGATGTAAACATGTTGGGGTCCTTTACATAAATGATAGCACGTTGCACGTGTCTTTTGGCACCTTGCTTTTTGCTCCAGATGTTGTGCTCAGCCTTCAGTCCTGTTGCTACACATTCATTTGTCTTCGTGGCTACAGTATCCTGTCGGGTGCCTGCATCGGCATCGCTTACAGGTTGGATGACATTGGGAACGTCATGCAAACTCGCCGGGCCTCGGAGTTCCTTATCTGGGAAATGGGAACAGCACCCTTCACATCCCGTGAAGGTCCCGGAAGGACGATGTGAGGTCGGCTCTGGGGGACATCGATCACAGGGACAGCACCGGGCAAACCCTAGCTACAGTGACGGGTGGTGATCAAACGCTGGTGACGAATGTGGCGTCTTTTAACTGTGAGCCAGTCTTTGCATCGTGCTGCTTCACCGAAACAGATCATCCACACCGTTGTCCTCCTAAAGCATCGTATTTCAAAGGGGGGATGTGTTGTCTCCACGCTGTGAAGAAACCCATTATTTTCCCACCTGACTGCATCACAGGTCAGTTCGATTTCTCATCTTGTTTAGGTTGCTTTGGGGACGTCACCCTCTGCTCTTGACACTTATTTTTTTAATTTTTAAAGCATTTTATTTATTTTATTTTTAGAGAGGGGAAGGGAGAAAGAAAGAGTGTGAGAGAAACATCAGTGCGTGGTTGCCTCTCGTGCGCCCCCTACTGGGGACCTGGCCTGCAACCCAAGCATGTGCCCTAGACTGGGAATCAAACCAGAGGCTTTGGTTCACAGGCTGGCACTCAGTCCACTGAGCCACACCAGCCAGGACATCCTAACACCTATTGGTGGCTGTACATCCTCTCTGGGTGTAGCCAGAGTGCTGGGTAAGTCAGCATTTGTTAAGGGCCCAGGAGCACCAGCCACTTACCTGCAGGGTGGACTCTGGGCCAGGCCTAATGTTTGTAAGGCCACCTGCCCAGGCCCCCTGCCCGGGGAGAGGAAGGGTGGCCCGCTGTTCGCTTTGAGCCCGAAGAGAACCCGGCACTGGTCACAACCCAGTCATGTTTCCTTTGTCATTAAAGACAAGAAGTTTAGTGAGCAGAACGTCATGGGCAGGTGCTCCCTGCAACCGGGCCTGCCCAAAGACTATTTCTTTGCCCCAAATCGATGACGCGACATAAACAACCACAGGACTTTCATTCCCCAGAAAGCCCTTCGAAAGGACTCCAGAGCTCAAAAATGGAGGTCCTCGCCTGAATGGGTTCGGGACGATGTCAACGGCATGGCTTCCCAAAGGTCAGCTACCTCTCTGTTCTCTGGGGACGATAGTGTTGTCACGTGGTGGGAATTGGGGAGCAAGAGCCTTGAGATGGACTTTGCTGAGCGCCCAAGCAGGCAGTTCAACTCGCCGAGGCAAAAGGTGACCTGAACCGGTATCAGAGGAAAACGGGGCAGAGATCAGCTTCTTATACAAACAGTGGTCAGAAATCCCCTTCGCCCTGCTGCGGCGGGACTGCTCCTTGACCCTTTCGGAAAGTGGGGTCGATCACATTCTCTCCTGTGAGAATCCGACCTGAGAGACACAGGTATTGAGCACTGAGCCACAGTCACGGTTCAGCGCAGGCCTGCAGGCCGTGAACTTGTCCTCTGCGGCTGCTGCCCATGCCTGGCTTCACGTCCCCCTAGGAGGTACACCACCATCTCTTCAGGATTTTCCTCTCTTTTATTTTAATTTAAATTTTGGGGGGGGGGGGGGCTGAAGCTAATTTGAACTCAGTGTCAGTTATTTGCATCCAGGAGGACCTTGAATGAAACAACGATAAGAAGGCATCTTCTGCCCTGGCTGGTGTGGCTCAGTGGATTGAGCACCAGCCTGAAAACCAAAGGGTCGCTGGTTTGATTCCCAGTCAGGGCACATGCCTGGGTTGCAGGCCAGGTCCCCAGTAGGGGACTCACAAGAGGCAACCACACACTGATGTTTCTCTCCCTGTCTTACTTCCCCTCTGCCTAAAAATAGATAAATAAAATATTTTTTTTTAAAAGAAAGAAACAAACAAATATGCTCACACATACCAAACTCATTCTCACCCCAGGGCCTTTGTACCTACCACCCCCTCTGCCTAGCATGCCTGTCCCCTGGATTTTTGCACTGTTTGCTCTGTCTGCTCATCCCCGGTCACTTTCCAACAGAGATCATCCCAGTCACCCCGGCCCCAGCTCCTCATTAGCCTGTCCCCTGTCCCACTTTTGCTGTCTTCCTGATGCTCAAAGCTGGGCTTCCTTCCTATTCACTGCAGACCTCTTTTCTGTCTGCCCCCTTGCCTTGAATGTCAGTTCTTTGAGAAGAGGGTCTTAGGCACCTTGTTTCTTGCTTTATTTGTACCAACCACCCAAAGCAGGTGCTGCTTCATTTGCAAATCTAATGAAAGGAAGGAACAAGACGGGCGAGCGTGGGCTCCAAGTTCCCAACGCGTCAGACTGGAGCCAGCTCCCTGCCGAACACAGACGCACACTCCGAGGCCAGGGAATCCCCGCCTTGCTCTGCCCACCTCTGCCCGCTTCCGCTTCAGGTGATCTCCGCTTTTACTGACTTTCTCCCTCTAGGAGTTGGTTGGAGAACCAGATAGGCAAAGTGCTCCGAAGACATTCACGGAGGGCTAGCTCCTTTCACTGACTGAGGCGCAACTGCTGCTGGGGGCCTGCGCATCTGCATTTCTTATCTGCATCTAACTCGGAACTCCAGAGCAAGCCTGGTCTTGCTAAAGAATCCAGCAGGGACAGAAGCTGGAAATGAAAGCGCAACAGAAACTGGGACAGGTCGAAGACTCACGCCAGGACGTCTCCTTTCCACCCCAGAACTGCGAACTGAAACTCTTCCACAGGAAGTTCTGCCTTCCCCTCCTGTGCAGAAACCCCAGTCTGGCCTGATTCCTTTTTATGTATGCAAACAATGATAGCCATAGTCACCAAAACTTTAATAGAACGTAAAATGTTTTTTTCCACCCTGACCATAACTCCCCCTTTGAGTGGAATGGTTTTTGTGTTTATGCCCTCCCTGCCCTATCCTGGTCCCAACTGGCCTGCAGAATTTTTCCTTTACAGTCCATGGTGTTTCTTGTGTTACAGGGAACAGTATTTTTCTACCAGGACACAGGTCCCAACCCATAAAGCTTTCCGCTTAAGTGAGAAGTCCCACTTCTGTGAACTCTCACTCACGCACATGCAGCACCAGACTGTGAGTCTCACATCGAAGTTTATTGAGGTGGCAGATTCTTGTAAGTACAGAAACACAAGCAAAGGAACCAGGAGGCACCTTCCCCTCCAGGCAGCAGGCTGCCTTTCCCTCTTAATAACAAAAGCAAACAGAGGTGGGAAGCAGCTCTTTGCCCTGAAGCCTTTTTAACTGCTCAAGCTTCAAATGAGTATAAACAGGAGGGGGTGGGTTAATGGCAGGCTGTGACACAAAAGCCATTTTCTTTCTCTTAGTAACTTGGGAAAGTTACTCTCAGGGCCAATCTTCCTCTTACCAGTATTGGAGACTCAGACGCAACCCAGAGTCCGTGAGTCCATTAGTCTAATCCAGTTCGGCGAAGGCTCAGGCCCAAGATGAATTGATCCCGCTGACTGCAGGGGATCTGCTGGCTTACAGGACGGTGCCTTGGTTCCCTCGGGAAGCCGACACTCCTTTCCAGTCCCTCAGCTCTTCTGTTTCTCAGCTGGAGCCAGGACCAGGCTGGGTAGGGCCCCAGGAGGTGAGACCCATCCAAGTGTCAGGCAACTGAAGGGAAGGTGCCGGTGAACCACAGGTGCCCACAGGCATCTCTGCGGCTCCAACTTCTCTTGGCAGAAGTGCGGCTGGGGTTGCCATCCTCAATTCTGCAAGTGTCCGAGAGGGAGCAGGGGGTGCCAATGTCTGGGCACCTGATTCCTGGCTCCTCCGAGATTCCAGGGCTGGCTCTCTGCAACCAAGTGGCCCACCCTGCACCCCACTTCTCTAAATCAGCTTCTCCGAGTCTGGAAGCTCCAGGAAACTCCGGGCCAAGTCTAATGATCTTACTCTGTGCACCAGCCCAGCTGCTTCCCCAGCCAGCTCGGTTCTTGGCGGAAATCTCCCTTCTTGGGTGGATGATTTCATTTAAGTAGAGCCTGGAGTCGGATCAGGCGGGCTCCACGACTCATTGCTGTCGCTCATCAGCGTGCTGGGGATGGTCCTGGCCACGCTCACATCCCCCGTGAGCTCCACGCTGGTGCTGCGGTTGTTCTCAGGCTCCTCGGGCATCTTCTTCCGGAGGTAGCGGTTGATCAGGGTGGAGAAGAAGTTGGGAAAAGACGGGCTGGAGAAGTAGTACACCAAAGGGTCCAGCATGCTGTTCATGTAGGTGAAGCTGAGCGTGATGAAAAAGGCCAGGTCCACCGAGCGGTAGATGTTGCAGTTCTGCGTCCCGCGCGTGCGCAGCAGCCAGAAGATGCGCATGCGCACGGCCACGCTGGGCAGGAAGCAGATGACGAAGACCACGGCCACCACCAGGACGAAGGTGATGGCCCTCTTGATCTTGGCGTGCCGGTCCATCTGTCGCTGCCGCAGGCTCCAGATGATGCGGACCGAGCAGAACACGATGATGCCCAGGGGCAGGAAGAACTCCAGCAGGAACATGGCGTCGTGCCACCGGAAGGTGTAGCAGATGCTGAAGCTGCTGCACAGGTAGGCGTCGCGGTTCTTGATCAGCATCTTCTTGTACAGCAGGTGGACCGTCAGGCCGATGGTCAGGGCCCACAGGAAGCAGGAGATGACGGCCGCCGTCCGGTTGGACATCTTGTTCACAGCGTGGTGGGGATGGACCACCCGGAAGTACCTGTCCACGGCCACCACCGTGAGGAAGATGATGCTGCCCTGGCGGTTCATGGCCAGCATGAAGAGCATCAGCCGGCAAGGGATGTCCCCAAACTTCCAGTCCCACTTCCTCACGTAGTTGTCCAGCAGGAACGGCAGACAGATGATCAGGAGAAAGTCCGCCACGGCCAAGTTGAACAGGAAAATCCGGCTGGATTTCCAGGACTTGAGGTGGAAGCAGAAGATCCATAGGGCGAGGCCATTGCCCAGGAGCCCGAACACGAACTCCAGCCCCAGCACGGTGGGCAGGACGTGGGCAATGAAGTCATCCCGGAACACGCAGCAGCTCTTGTTCCGGATTTGCAGAAAGTGATCATCCTGCTGCTGGTGCAGCCGCATGGGTGGACCGGGGCAGGCGCTCGGAGGGCCTCGCCTCGCCGTGCTCAAGGAAAGAGGTGTGAGTCTGTGTGGCGGGTGTGTGGCCGAGCGCCTGCCTTTATGGCACGTCAGGGTGTTGTAATAGATGACTGAATGGTTACCAGGAAACTACGAAATCGCTTCAAAAAAAAAAAAAAAAAAAAAAAAGGCCAGCAAGGCTCTTATGCAATGTGCTGTTTGCATAAATAAGTAATAAAAATCCCCAGGGCAGATGGGAACCCGCAGAATTTTCTAAATGGAAAGGATAGGTTCGGGCAGGCTGTCATTTGTGAACCGTGGAAATGCGGAGGGCGTCCCTTCCGAAGCCTGTCTCCCGGGCGCTTCATGTCCGAGTGTGCATTCGCTGTCGTGTGGCTGGTTCACAATGTTACCACCAACGGCAATAATAACGCCCTGTGCTGAGCAGTCTGGGTTTCCAGAAACATTCAGAATGAGCACAAATCTTCGTATGCAAATGATTAAGGGAACAGCAGCCATATGATTTCTTTCGAAAAGGCCCAGAAGGCAGAAATTGTCTATTTTACTAAAAGAGATGTATGGGGTGTTATGTTCCCGTGCCATCTTCTCTGTCCCAACGTGGACTGGCTGCTTTTCCCTGCCAGAACTCTTCAATTAATTCCTACTTAGCAGAAGGGAAGAAAAGAAAAGCTACTTGAGAGTGGCATAAAATTTCCGAAGATGCTGGAAAATATGCCAGGGGTGCGTTGCAATAAGTCGAGGTTTTTGCTTGTGTTAGATTGTGATATGCTTTCCTGCTCAAGTGATTTAAGTTCAAGTACAGGATGTTTGAAAAAGCAATCTGCTTTCTTTTTCAGAGCAATTTGAGGTTCTCAGCCCAATTGAGCAGAAAGTGCAGAGGGTTCCTGGGCAACGCCTGCCCCCCATGCAGGCACCACCGCCCCCACTAAGCGTGTGATAGTTTAAAAGCCCCTGTTTTTTTGGATGATTAAACTTAGAGTGACAGGACTGAAGAGAACTTTTAACTCTGCTGCATCCAGGTCACCAGTTCACACATCATTTCTTTGCTTTTCAGTTGTAATTGAGTGCAACCCAACAGAACAAGTCTACCCTGTGACATTTTGGTCTGTTGACTTCTTGCTCTGCTAGAAGTCTCTAAATTGCTTCTATTTTGAGTTAGAAATTAAAAAAATGTTTTCTTTTTTTCTTTATCTTTCTTCTCTCTCTCTCTCTTTTTTAGAGAGAGAAGAAAGGAGAGAGAGAAGCATCAATGGGAGAGAGAAGCATTGATTGATTGCCTCCCATACACAGCTGGACTGGGGATTGAACCTGCTACCCAGGTACGCGCCCCAACCGAGAATCAAACCCACAACCTTTTGGTTACGGACGGCACTCTAACCAAACCCCATCAGCCAGGGCAGCAACTCTGTTTCTTGAGTCCCACACCCAGGTTCGACAGCAGAGGCCTGAACACCCTGGACCGCACGTTAGTCAGGGTGATCTAACGTTAGACTCTCCCAGGAGCCAGACGTCCTTGATGACAGAGGTGATGATAAAGGTGAAGCCGGTGCCACGTTGCAGGGAGCTTCCGATGTGTCAGACCTGCATGCTCAGGGCTTTAGATCCGTGCCCTTGTCCTGCCCTGGCTGCAGCCCATCAGGCAGGGAGCGTGACTGATTCAGATTCCGGAATGAGGAAAGCGAAGCTCAGAGAGGTTAGCACACATGTGCGAGGCTGCCCAGCTGACAGAGCGGGGCCTGGATGTGGATCCCGACCCCCCCCACCACCACCCCTCCCCCCACCAGGCTCCGAGCCTGTGTCCCTGACCACAGCACGCACAGCCTCTTCCGAGGCCGTCTTGCCGGTCAGGCTGCTTGGCATTGAGGTCACACTCCGTGGGTGTCCTCAGGCTCCAGTGAAATGCCTGGTATTTGTTTCACATCCTTGCTGCCTGTGATTGTCACGCTGCCTTCTGGGGACACGTGTGGACTTGTCCATGACATCCACGGACTAACCCTAAGGGTCTCCCTTAACTAAGAGTCGGACAAGCTGACCAGTTATTTCTGGGAACCCACACTGGCGAGGGACCCTCCCTTTCTAAATTTTACAGTTTTATAGTGTTTGCTTTTTTTTTTTTAACAAAAAGGATGATCATGGACAAAATTAGAAAAGAGCAACAGATATTGTTAAGTTTGAAAAAAGAGAAAAACTGGAGCTCTGGCGGTGCATTCTGGCTTCATCAGTGACGGGCGGTAAACCCCCTTAAACCCTCTTAAACCCTCACCTTCCTCATGTGCAAGTTCAGGGGCTGGGCTGTCTTCAAGCTTCCTTCCAGTACTCACATCTTGTGATCCTAAACCAGCAATTTTCCACCAGCAGGCCACAGGAACGTTTAAAACACACACTACCTGGCTCTTTAGTCAGGCGCACTGACCTCTTTTCCCTTAACTTGTAAAACAAAAAAAATGACATCGGCCAACACAACTATGCCATCCGGTGTGAATGAATCAAAATTATACCTATTTTTTTGGTAAGGTCGGCCAAAAAATTTTTTTTTGGCATGCCACAGAATTTTAGTAATTAGTCAACATGTGCCGTGAGATGAAAAGCATCGAAAATCACTGTTCTAAAGCCAAAATTTGGCATCACCCGGGCAGAATGTAAATTCCGGCCTCCCCAGGGTTCTGGCGCCCGCTATGGAATTTCCGGTCTTCCCACTCCGCCATGGGCATGTTTTGTCTTGCGTACGTCCTTTGTTTATGTATTTTTTTCTCTACTAGTGCATGAGTTGGACAGAAACTTGTTAGAATGAATCATGTCAACGTCTATCAGTGATTCCACCAGGTTTTGGGCCAGGTCCACTTACAGTCTATGACTCGTACATTAACTTGAACCTCCGAACCTCCTTATTTACCCCAGCCTCAGGGTGCACCACGGAACTGGATGGAGCTAGGTTTTAAAATGAAAGATAGTAATAGCGACCGTTGATCAACAGTTTGCTCTGTGGTAGGCCCTGTGGATGTGAGATCTTTTTTTTTAAATTTTTTTAATTGATTATGCTGTTACACTTGTTCTATTCCCCCTTTCATTCCCCTCCACCCTACCCCCGCATCCCCACCATTACCCCCCCTTTAGTTTATGACCATGTGTCTCAAGTCCTTTAGATTCTATATTTCCCATGCTATTCTTGCCCCCCCATCTATTTTCTATCTACTGTCTATGCTACTTATTTGCTGTACCTTCTCCCCCCTTCTCCTCCTCCCACTCCCCTGTTGCTAACCCTCCACGAGATCTTCATTTCTATGTTTCCACTCCTGATCTAGCTGTCCTTTTAGTTTGCTTTTGTTTTAGGTGTGGTTGTTAATAACTGTGAGTTTATTGTCCTTTCACTGTTCATGTTTCTTTAACTTCTTTTTCTTAGATAAGTCCCTTTAACATTTCATATAATAATGGCTTGGTGAGGATGAACTCCTTGAATTTGATCTTATCTGAGAAGCACTTTATCTGTCCTTCCATTCTAAATGAAAGTTTTGCTGGATAGAGCAATCTTGGTTGTTAGGTCTTTGGATTTCATGACTTGGAATACCTCTTTCCAGCCCCTTCTTGCCTGTAAGGTGTCTTTTGAGAAATCCGCTGACAGTCTGATGGGGACTCCTTTGTAGGTGACTGTCCCCTTAGCTCTTGCTGCTTCTAGGATTCTCTCCTTCATTTTAATCTTGGCTAATGTAATGATGATGTGCCTTGGTGTGCTTCTTCTTGGGTCCAACTTCTTTGGGACTCTCTGAGCTTCCTGGATTTCCTGGAAGTCTATTTCCTTTGCCAGATTGGGGAAATTCTCCTTTATTATTTGTTCAAATAAGTTTTCCACTGGTGGCTGTTCCTTTCCCCCTTCTGGTACCCCTATAATTCGGATGTTGGAGCGTTTAAAGATGTCCTGGAGGATCCTAAGACTCTCCTCATTTTTTTGAATTCTTGCTTCTTGACTCTTTTCTGTTTGGCCATTACTTGCTATCTTCTGGTCCACTCCATTGATTTGAGTCCCTGTTTCCTTTTTCATCGCTATTGGTTTCCTGTGCAATTCCATTCATTTCAATTAGTTTCGCCTTCATATGTTTGTCTAATTTGTGGCTATAATCAACCAGTTCTGTGAGGATCCTGATCACCAGTGTTTTAAACTGTGCGTCTGAGAGTTTTGCTATTTCTTCATTGCTTAGATTTATAGGCTCTGGGGCTTTGAGATCTTCTTGAGCCATTTTTGGTCTGTTCGCGCCCTGTAAGTGTGAGAACCGGCGCCTTGGACTCCCAGGTGGCTGGGTTGTAACGCTGTGTGTGTGGGCGTGGTCAGAGCGGGGGAAATGGCGGCGCTCTCCCTGCTGCTTGCTGCGGGGACCCGCTGGGTCCCAGTCCAATCGCCCACTCCCTCGCCTGTCCACCCATGCACAAATGCACGACCACAGTCAACACTGCTCCCCCGCTGCTGCCCCGCTCCCCCGCTGTCTCCTCCGCGGTCGCTCGCCTGGTCGCTCGCTCGGTTGCTCACTAGGTCCAACCCTGCACCTGGGATCCACGCGCCTGAGTGCGTCTGACCGAGTTTTCCTGTGCAACCCCGCTTCACCAGCCGCTGGTTTCGCCCCTTACCGGTCAGGCTGAAGAATTTGTTGTTAACGGACTTCCGAAAAGTTCAATTTTCCGTGTTCTGGCTGTGTTTTCTGTTGCTAATACTTAGTTGTCTCTAAATTTGGTTGTGTGAGAAGGCACGGCACATCCACCTATGCCTCCATCTTGGCGGAAGTCTCGTGAGATCATTTTTTAAAGAGATTTGATTTCTCTTTAGAGAGAGAGGAGAGAAGAGAAAAAGAGAGGGGGAGGGAAACATCAATGTGTGGTCGCCTCTCCTGAAGCCCCACTGGGGACCTGGCCCACAACCCAGGCATGGGCCCTGACTGGGAATCAAACCAGTAACGCTTTGGTTCACAGGCCAGCACTCAATCCACTGAACCACACCAGCCTGGGATCTAATCCTCACAAAAACCCTACAAGTGTCGTGCTGATCTTATCCTCATCCCCATTTCACAGATCAGAAAACCGAGGCTTAGAGCTGGAAGTCCCTCACTGCCTGTCTTTGAACCCTTGTCTTTGGTCTCGTGAGTCTAAGGGTTGGCTGGGCCCAGCCGGGCAGCCCTCCATTGGGGTCCCTCAGGGGGCGCCTAGATCCAGGCAGGACACCAGAGCATGTCTTCCTCTTCAGGTGGTCTCGCGTCTCTGGGTGGCATCTCTGGGTGGCATGTCCACCCAGCCCCTTCCCATGTTCTTTCCACACGGCAGGTGAGACAGACGCCTTACAGGCTGCTCCGGGCTTCAAAGCCTCACAAGCTGACCTTCTTCAGGCCTGTGGCTCAGAAATCCCAGCGTATCGCCTTCACTGCATTCCGTGGATTAAAGCGAGTCACCGAGCCCTTTTTCATTCTACCGGGAGGGGCCCTGGAGCAGGAGAGTGTGGGACGCAGGCGACATTGTGGTAGAGGTGCCCCGCAGATGGGACACTTGCCTGGTGGGAAATAAGAGGCCTCTGGACCGTTGGGGAGGCCGAGGAGGAAGGGGAACCGGGGTGAGAGGAGGCAGAGAGGAAGCTGTGTTGCTGACGGGCAGGCGGATATACGAAGAAAAAGAGGGTCAGAGACCTCCCTTCCTGGCCAGGTTGTCGGCGTATTTCCCACAGAACCTTATAAAAATTCAAAAATAGTAAAAAGACAGAAGGAGGGCATGTCAGGGTTTTGAAACACAGTGTCGAATTTAATGTTAAACACCTAAGGTCATGTGCGCTTGAAACCTATGCAATTTTATTAACCAATGTCACCCCCAATGAATTCAATTAAAAAAAAACCCCAAGGGCAAAGCAGAATAACCAAATGATCTTGGAAAAGAAGAACAGAGTTAAATAACACTTCCCAATTTTGACCCGATTTTGAACCTTGCTGCGAGGCTTCAGTAATGTAGGCAGGGTGGGCCCGACCTGAGGACCAACGTCGGAACAGGACCGAGGACTCAAGAAAAACCCCCGTGGGCACTTGCGGTCCGCTGACCTTTAAAAGCATGATCAGACAAATCAATGGGGGACAGACCAATTGTGCTTTAAGGATTTTATTTATTTTATTTCTCCACAGAGGGGAAGGGAGGGAGAAAGAGAGGGAAAGAACCATTAATATGTGGTTGCCTCTCTCACGCCCCCTGCTGGGGACCTGGCCCGAAACCCAGGCATGTGCCCTGACTGGGAATCAAACCAGCAACCCTTTGGTGTGCAGGCCGGTGCTCAATCCACTGAGCCACACCAGCCAGGGCCAGACCAGTCTTTTTAATAAGCGGTGCTGAGACGATCGGATAGCCACACGCAGAAGAATGAGGGCCCCTTCCTCAAACTGCACATGAAAACAAATGCAGAATTCATCACAGATCTAATGTAAGACATGAAATTCTTAGAAGAAAATGGAGATTCGGGGCTTCGTGACCTCAGCGTAGGCAAAGCCTTCTTCAGCGTAACACCAAACACACCGACAATGGAACTGAGCAATTGCACTTCATCACTTTAAAGGAGTTTTTTGTTTGTTTGTTTTTCTTTTTAAAAAGTAAGAAAAAATGCTTGTTAAACAAAATGAGTAAGAGCCCGTTGGCAAGTGTCAAGGCTCTGAATCCAGTGCTGGTGGGAAGTATAAGTCGGGTGAGCCTTTTTTGGGGACAGCGTGTTGGAACCTGTGAAGGTGGTCACAAAAGCTGATATAATAAGAGCTAGTCCTGGAGAAGGAGCACAGCTGATAGAAGCAGCACTTACTCTGTGTGGGGCGCTATTCTCGGTGCTGCGGGTGCATGTAAACTCACTCAGCGCTCACAACACGCCTCGGGGGGCAGGTGCTGTTCTTGTCCCCATTTTGTGGACAAGGAGAGTAAAGCCTTGGCAGGCTGAGTTACTGGCCCGAGGTCACACAGCCGGGAAGTGAAGGAGACAGGATCTGAGTCCAGGCAGACTGGCTCTGGGGCTGGGCTGTCAGCCACCGTGCCTGCCCTCTGGCCCAGCACTTCTGTGTCTAAGGATGTAGCTTCCAGCCCTGGCTGGTGTGGCTCAGGTGGTTGAACACTGGCCTGCGAACCAAAGGGTCCATGGTTCGATTCCTAGTCAGGGCACATGCCTGGGTTGTAGGCCAGGTCCCCCCAACCCAGTGGGGAACACACCAGAGGCAACCACACGTGGATGTTTCTCTCCTCTCCCTCCCTTTCTCTAAAAATAAATAAAATCTTTAAAAAATTACAAATTATTGCACTCATATCACCCTACCAACCACACTCAGGCAGACGTTACTTCTGCCAGACCCTGTAGACTTATGTGTTCTTTGCATTTCAAACAAAAACATATATGTGCCTTCTGTACTCAGAGAAATGTAATTCTTCCTTAAAGATAATAATGGCTCCTGGAAGGCTGTTCATGAACCCCCTGTCCGGTCGGGCTGCGAAGAGAGCCTTCCGCCCCGGTGGACACCTCGCAGCCCAGCCTGGGCTCCCTTCCCCGGTCTGAGGTGGACCCCTGCCGTCCTCGCTCCACCCCCCCACCCCCCCCACCGTAGCTGGACGGCCTTTGCCCCCAGGGCTGCCTGCTTGCTTCCTCTCTGTCCCCAAGACTGAAGTTCATGAGTCACTTCCTCTGAGAAGCCTTCCCTCACCTAAGCCAGAATCCGGGCGGGGGGGTGGGGGGGTGGGGGGGTGGAGTTCTCCTGTAGAACCCCGTTAACCACGTTCACCGCAGTTCCCCCTACTGGAAATTCTATTTTTTCCTTGGTTTCTACCATGGAACCCACGGGCTCAGGAGCCGTGTTCTCCGAGGTGTTTTTGCTGTTCCTGGTCTGGAGCTGGTGCCTGATCAGCCCCCTGGAAAAGGGGCTGCGCAAACCGTGTGTGTCCCCAGGGCATGAAATACCGACCCCTTCCCACTCCCACCGGCTCACTACGGAGGCGGAATTCCTCTGAGGCCCCTCTGTGAGTCCATCTGTTTACTTCATCTCAACATCTGTCTGTCCGTCTGTCTGAAATGTAGGGCCTCAGCTTCATGGATGTGCTTCAAAGGGTCCTGGGTTTAGTTCCATGCTCTGCTGCCACCACCGTGAAATTCTTCATACCCTTTTAAAAAAAGATTTTATTTATTTATTTTTAGAGAGAGAAGAAGGGAGGGAGAGAGGGAAACATCACTGTGTGGTTGCCTCTCCCACGCGCCCTACAGGGGACCTGGCCTGCAACCCAGGCACGTGCTCCGACTGGGAATAGAACCAGCAACCCTTTGGTTCACAGGCCAGCACTGAATCCACTGCGCCACACCAGCCAGGGCGTCTCCATACTTTTTCCAACAAGGAGCCCGGCCAGTTACGGAGCTGGTCCCAAAGCTGGGGATGCACTGGCAGTGACAATGATGGTGTCTCAGCTTCTGCTGGCAACCTGTGGGTTAGAAGCCCCAGACGGCCCGTGGGTGAGACCGCCGTCACAACGCACCCGCCTTGTTGTGGAGCCTGCAGTGCCTGGCCGAACCCCACTGCCCGGCGTGCTCCCCCTTCTAAACAGCCCCTGCATCTGGTAACTTCAGACCTCATCTTAACCCTCTCACTTTTAAGAAAAATATATTTTTTAATTTTCAGTTATGGTTGATGGATAATACTGTGCTAGGTGCAGGTGCACAGCATAGCGGTTAGACATTTACATAACCTTCGACGTGATCACGCCCGGGGCCCCAGCACCCGCTGGGGCCACACTGGGTCGTGACACCATAAGCAGTTTCCGCTGGACGTCACGTCCCCACGACCGCCCTGGGGCTGCCAGCTTGTGCTCCTCATCCCTCCACCTCCTCGCCCACCCCCCCGCCCCCTCCCACCTGGCAAGTGTCAGTGCTTCTGGGGCTGTTTCTGTTCAGCCTGTTCCTTTGCTTTCTAGATGCTGTCTCACTTCTTTCATTCAGCAAAGTACCCTCTCGGCCACCGTGTTTTGTTTTGTTTTTAACAACTTCAGGCTTCACCTTTTTTTAAAAAAGATTTTATTTATTTATCTTTTGAGGGGAAGGGAAGGAGAGAGGGAGAGAAACATCAATGTATGGTTGCCTCTCATGTGTCCCCTCCTGGGAACTGGCCTGCAACCCAGGCATGTGCCGTGACTGGGAATCAAACCACGACCCTTTGGTCCACAGGCCTGTGCTCAATCCGCTGAGCTACACCAGGCACACCTTAGTCACTGTGTTTTTCCAGAAGCAAGATTTCATTCTTGTCTGTGGCCGAGTCGTGTTCCACTGCATCTGTGTACTGCTGCTTCTTATCCACTCATCGACTGATGGACACTCAGGTGGCTTCCACAGCTTGGCCATTTCAAATAACGCTGCAGCCAACCTATGGATGTGTATGTCTTTGCAATGTCGAGTTTTGGGTTTCTTTGGATAAATACCCAGAAGTGGAATTCCTGGGGCCACCTTTGTCTGTCACAGCCTGTGTTAAAGTCTATTTTTTTAAATCCCTTCACTTGTAATAAACAGTAAGGAAGCCCATTCTGAGAAAAGATAAGAACTGGACCTTTTACAGTCTCAGCACCAGTAAAGGTACCTCTTTCTTTTGGTACAGTTTCTATAGAATATGTGGTCTAACATTCATTCTAGCTTTTATGTGACTTTTTCTGAAAGACCCTGAAAAAGAGGAACAGACCTTTTCTTCCAAATCGATTACGTTTTCCTATTCCAGGCAGTTCAAACAGTCTTTGTCAACAAGCCACCCTCCCCCTCCTGACAGTTTCTGAGAACACTTCTGGCCGGGAGCTGGTTTCCATCAGATTCTGTGAACCCAGGAAGGGAAGCAAAATTGGAATCATGTCTGCGTTGGGGTTTTCAACTTTTTTTAATTTGCTCTTGCTGAGTCTCAGTGCGAACCTCTCTACCCACCACCAGCCTGCAAAGTTTTTAGATTTTTTTTTTCCACGGAGGGTAAATCCTTATGAGTCATTTAACGTGCATAGGGCTACACACACAGGCACGGACTCACTTGGGGAACCATTTTTATTACAATGAAGCAACAAAGGAGCAGCCCAGGAAAGAATTAGAACTAAGAATAGAAGCGAAAGCAGAAGTGTGGTTTTCACAGATTGCTAGGAGGAAGATACACGTTTCTTTGATGCGGATAAGGATTCTACCCTGGCCCGGAAGCTCAGGTGCCTTGGGCGTTGTTCTAACTCGCCAAGGTTGCAGGTTCGATCCGTGGTCAAGGCACGTACGAGAACCAACCAATGAATGCATCGATATGCGGAACAAGGAATCTCTCTCTCCCCCTCCTTGCTCTTTCTCTTTCTCTCTCTTAACCAAAAAAAAATAAAATAAAATCCTGGCCTTTCCTCCTCCCCAGGCACCTGGGGAGCAGAAGAATTTGGGGAGCAACAGTGCAGCAGCCACCGAGGGGCCCTGAACCCCAAAGGAAATCACTTCCGTGCCTCAGTTTCTTTATGTGAAAAGTAGGCTCACATAAAAAGTCACAAAATGGAATACTGACCGCCGCTCCCTAGGCTTACCGCTTCCTGTGCACTTAGTCGTGCATTCAAATATTTCTTGAGCACCTACTATGTGCAGGCACTCTTCTAGCCACCGGGGATCTAACAGTGACCCAAGTTCCCGTGCTTCAGGATCTGATATTTGTTGAATCTGCCCAACGACCTTTTGAACTCAGCCTTCTTGTTACGCCCACTTGACCGATGTGGAAATTACAGCTCAAAGTGGTTATGTCGAGTCTGCCCCCAGACCACGCACCTAGTGGGCGGCTGGGGTGGGATTCACTCTTTGATTTGTCTGACTTTGCATGGCCCATGCTTTTACTAAGCTCTGCGGCGCTTCTGAAAAAAGAAGCAATAAGGGCAGCCTAGAGGGGGCTTTGGAGGCCAAAGGACTAAAAGCTGGTACAGTCCTGCCCTGACCAGTGTGGCTCAGTTGGTTGGACGTCGTCCCACAAACTTAAAGGTCATGGGTTCGATTCCTGGCCAGGGCACATGCCTGGGTTGCAGGTTCGGTCCCCAGTCAGGATACGTATAAAAGGCAAATGATCAATGTTTCTCCTTCTCTCTTTCTTCCTCCCTTCCCCTCTCTCTCCCTGTGTCTCTCTGGAAAAGCAATGAAAAAAAATGTCCTCAGGTGAGGATCAAACAAAAACCAAACAAACAGAAAGCTTCTCGGGTCCTCACGGGAACAGAATACCCTGGGAGTTTGAGAGAGTGGAAATGAAGACCCGAGAACCACCTCCATCCGGAACCGCTCTGGGGCTTGAGAATGGAGCTGAGGCTGGCCCGGCATCTTCCCCCGAATCCAGGGCAGAGCAGCCCGTGTGGCCTCGCAGAATCATCAGCTTCAAGGGTTCCCTGCGGGACCCCCACAGGCAGCCGGGAGCCCACCCTGCCCCCCCTCCGTGTGTGGGCAGAATCCCACACTGATTTTACAGACCCTGTTCTCCAAACTGCTCTACGGGCTGCACTGAAAGGGTGAAGGTCATTGACCTCTCAGCCCCTCCCCCCAAATACCTTTGCTATCACCTAAGCGTTGACTGACAAACGGCCTTCCAGGTAAAGGGACAGAGCACAGTGCCCGGCACGGCACAGGAGCTCAGTAAACACTGAAGCACAAAGGAAGGGATCATGTCAACTCACGGCTACAGAGCAAGCGGGCAAAAGCCGTTCTGCTGGTCCTGGCTCTTCCCAAAAGCCAGTGGGGCTTTTTTTCCAGCTCCCACTGGAAAAATCAGGGCAGGTAAACATACCCCTTAGCGAGTTGTTTCAAATGCAAAGGCTTGCGGAAAATTGTGGAGTCCGGAGAAGGTCAGAGCAGATTGTTTTTCCTGTCACTCTTCCTGGGCCCCTGAGCAGCCAAGAAACGAGCAGAGTCCCCCCCCAACCCCGCAACCCCCCCCAGGAAGATGAAAACCATCAGACTAAGGCCTTCCAGCCCGCAGAGCCTCCGTGAGCCCCGCACAGAGGTGTCGACTTAGTCCAGTTTCTGTTTTCCGAGACAAGGAATGATTTCCGGTCAGAGGAGAAGAAATACTGGTAAGTCATCAAGTTCATTAACTCCCCGTGAGAGAGAGGACAGGACAGCTGTAGTACCTACTTCCTCAGCCGTTTCAAATGCCACAGGAGCCCAGCTCAGCCGGACACCCACCTCCCCGCCCCCCACCCCCACCCCCACCCAGCACACACATACCCGCTACGAGCACACGGCATGTCATCTGCTGTGGTTTGTAATCAGATCCCATAAATTTGACCGACTCACTTCTCAACTGGGACTTTCCATGAAAAGGCGCAGCAGCCTGAGGCTTGTTTCCACCAGAGGAGGAGGTTACAGCCCAGCCCCTGGCCCCTTTCTTTGTGTGAGCTATTTCCAAGTCACCCATCTGTCCTCCTTGATTCTGTCTGTTTTAAAGCCGGCCGCTCACATCCGTCGATCCCACCGCAGCTCCGATTGGCTCTGCAAGCTGTTGGCCACACTGGTGCAGCTCCGGCGACACAGGTCTGAGATGGGCATCTCCTCCGGCCGCCGAGTCTTGGGGTGCCCCGGACGCTTGGGTCTCAGACTGCAGATTTTGAGGTTGGTGTAGAATTTGGGGAATGAGGGACTGGAAAAATAATACACCAGGGGGTCCAGCATGCTGTTCATGTAGGTGAAGCTGAGGGTCACGTGGAGGGCCGTGTGGACGGAGGGGTCGCAGACGCTGGAGGGCACCGTGCAGAGGAAGTACAGTCGGGCCGACACGCTGGGCAGGTAGCAGGTGATGAACACGGCCGCCACCACCATGATGAAGCGGGTGGCCTTCCTCATGCGAGCCTGCCGGGCCAGCTGCTGCCTCTGCTGCAGGCTCCAGACAACCCTGCAGGAGCAGAACAGGATGATGCCGAGCGGCAGGAAGAACTCCAGCTGGAACATGATGTCATGCCAGCCGTTGGCCGACTCCATGATGAAGCTCTCACAGGACACGGTCGTCTCGAGCATGCACAGGTGGCTCTCCGTCAAAAGATGCAGCGTCCCCAGGATGACCGTGGCCCAGAGGGCGCAGACGAGGCCGGCGGCGGTCCGGTTGGAGATGGCGTTCACCGCGTGGTGGGGGTGGACCACCTTGAAGTACCTGTCCACGGCCACCACCGTCAGGAAGACGATGCTCCCGGCCCGGTTCATGGCCAGCATGAACAGCGCCACCCGGCAGGGGATGTCATCGAAGGCCCACTGTCGGTCCCGGAGGTAGTAGTCCGTCCGCAGCGGCAGGCAGATCATGAGGAGGAAGTCGGCCACGGCCAAGTTGAAAAGGTAGATCGTGCTGGGCTTCCAGGTCTTCATGTGGAAGCAGAAGCTGCACAGGGCGATGCCGTTGCCCAGGGCGCCTAGCACGAAGAACAGAATCAGCAGCGGGGGCATCACCTGAGTGATGGGGTCCCCCTGGATGAGGCAGCACGACCCGTTGTCCATGGCGGACGGAGGGCGAGCGCTCCCGGCCCCAGCAGTCCCCACAGAGACACAGGCGCGAATCTGACGGCTGCCACTCACCCTGCGGCTGCTTTTCTGAGTTCTCCCTGGGATGCAGGTACAGACGATGACACAGACCGCACATGGGGGTGGATGCAGCCCCAGGCAAACAGAAACTGCGGCCAGGAAATCACAGCCCCCGGGTGTCCTTTCTCTGGAGCCCTGGTCACCAGCTGCCTGTCCCCCAGGCAGGTGGTCCCTCCAGGCATTGATAAGCAGGGAGTCTCCCACAAGTGGTCATTCTGGGAAGCAGCTGGCCAGTCCAGCGAGGTCCATGCCGGAGAAGAGTGGAGAGGTCTGGTCCCGGGACCGCTTTTTCTCCCTCCAGCCTCACGCTTGCTCCACTGACTCTGCTCTGCAGAGCGCGGAGCTGCCCAGAAGGCACGAAAAGAGCTTGTTTGTCCTTCCTCCCTCCGGGAGGAGAAACACAAACATTTCCCGGGAGGGAGGGGAGCCGTCCTGGACTGGCCTTCGCTTCCCTCCCTAACCTTTGCCTGACTGGCCGTGGGCTCCTCGTTCTCATCCCCTGGGGCCCTCCCAGGCGCTGCCAGAGAGGCGAGAGCCACTTCCTGCACCCACACCCAGAGACGCAGCCCTCAAAAATCTGAAGGGTCTGGAGAGGAAAGAAGTTCAAACACCGCACTTGTGGGTGTTAGAAACCATTTTCTGAAGTCGGTTGGCCTTTGCTCCCCTCCTCACCCTTTGCCTCCTTCCCTGGACCCAACTGGCCCGTTGCACAACCCGCAAGACCGTGGCCTTGTCCTGAGGCCGCCGCCCAGAGGTCTGTCTCCACCGAGCAGCCTCTCGGCAAGCCCGTTCCTCCCTCTGCAGTTGGCAACAGAGGGTTTGGCTCGGAGCTTCCCACTGGCTGCGCAAACGAGCCAGACGCCGGGATCTGCGTGCTGTTTTTAATTTGTTGTCGTTAGGTGCTGAGCTCACTGGTGCAGGCGAGCAAGGGTTGGGCCAGTCGGTCATGGACTTTAACTCTAAAATTGTCACGGGTCTCCCTGGTCAGTGGGGCTCAGTTGGTTGGCATGTCGTCTCATAACCGAAAGGTTTCGGGTATGATTCCTGGTCAGGGTACATAATTGGGTTGCAGATTTGATCCCCAGTTGGAGCGCAAATGATCCCTAGTCCCGGCATTGTTGCGGTTCTCTCTCTCTTCCTCTGTCTGTAAAAGCAATAATATATATATATATATATATATATATCCTCAGGCTCTGGCTGGTGTCACTCAGTGGATTGAGTGCCAGCCTGTGAACTGAAGGGTTGCTAGTTCGATTACCGCTCAGGGCACATGCCTGGGTTGCAGGCCAGATCCCCAGTAGGGGGCGCACAAGAGGCAACCACACACTGACGTTTCTCTCCCTTTCTTTTTCCCTCCCTTCCCCTCTGTCTAAAAATAAATAAATAAAATCTTTAAAAAATGTTCTTGGGTAAGGATTTTTTTTAAAAAGTAATGAATCGTAGGTTAAAACTAGACTGCACTGAAGTTGGAGTCTTTGCTAAATTTTCTGGTCCGTGGGTTTTAGCTACAAGCTGTTGCCCAGTGCCTTTCAGCTCCCAGCTTGGGAGACGGGTGAGGAGTGGGAGCCAGAGGCTGCCTGCTTCCTTCCAGATGCAGATTAGATTCTCTCCACGGCATCCTGGGCTGGGGCAGACTCCATTCTCCACTGTCCCGCCCCAGCAGGAACCTCTGTCACCTGCCAGCTGTCGAAGCTGTTTGCCTTTCCTAAAGGTCATATCCTTTTAGGTCGTATCCTTTTAAAATGTTTTTCCTTTTACTTAAAAGCCAACATTAGCTCCCTTTGAACTGCCGAGGTGATCTCCATATGGCTTGTGAGGCATATCTGGTTCAAAAACCAGTTTGATTTGGCCCACATGGTTTAAAAACCTTGGACGGTCTTATTAAAACCTGTATTTCCAGCTCTCTTGGGAAACGGTGAGCTCTGGCTATGCTGGGCCAACCACCCCACATAGTAATAACCAGCTGCGTCAGAGAGCAGCTGCCCCCTCAAGGAGGCCAAGATACTGCACTTTGCCGCAGTCCCCACCACTCCCTCGTGCTGCTCAGCTTCCCTCATGTGCATGCCTGGTCTCTGTGCGATTTTGAGTTTGTCACCTCTGCCCTAAGTGAAAGGTCACATTCCTTGGATTAAGTGCACAAGGTCCTTCCCAAACTGCCTTTCCAATATAAATGTCCTGGTAGTCTCATCACTTCTCATTTTTAAAAAAGTGTGTCCATCAAACATCTCTACGTAGCTCTGCCACTTGTCCGTGAGGTCCTTGGAGACTGTGATCTTGGCAGAAAGGGTGGAGACTCGGGGTCGCTCGTCATGAGAGCCCACGGCAGCCACATTCCCTCGGCAGCCTGGGTGATTCTGGGAGAAGGCGTGTTAACTTATGGGGTGATGAGAACAGGCTGTAACACCCCAAGATGAGGCTGGCTGATAACTCCGAATGACTTGGTAGGGCAGGCTGGATTTTTTGGCAAATGGAAACTGTTCTTCATTCTGCATTAGCAGACGCTGCTGAAATTCTAGTAAAAATAAGAGCTTCCCTTTTCCCGTGTGGCCAACACCTTCCTTTCTTTCTTTCTTTCTTCCTTTCTTTCTTTCTTTCTTTCTTTCTTTCTTTCTTCCTTCCTTCCTTCCTTCCTTCCTTCCTTCCTTCCTTCCTTCCTTCCTTCCTTTCTTTCTTTCTTTCTTTCTTTCTTTCTTTCTCCTATATTTTTTTTATTGTTTATTCTCTTACGGTTGTCCCAATTTTTTCCCATTTTGCCCCTCCTCCGACCAACCGACCCTACATCCAACTTTCTTCTCCTCATTCTTTCTGGCTGGTCGAACTGCCTTCCCTTTTCTCTCTCTCTCTGTAGAATTAGCTGGAAGGCAGAGGATTAAGGAAGAGAGTGAGGTTTCTCGTTCTCTGAAAGTCCGTCATCGGCCACAGGTGGGAAGGGAGGATGTGGGAAATCTGTTTGGCTGGGAACCTAAGACTGTTCTAAAGAGACAGTCTTTAAAAATTTACACCGGGTTTTACTACCGATCTTATTTCTAACTCCTAGCTATTAATCACAGTGCCTGATGCCAAATATAGGCTTGGTTGATTTATTGACCCTAATATAATATTCTATGCCAACTACATTTAAATGTTAGACATTAAGTTAAAATTTGAAAAGTGAAAGTAAACAAAAAAAGTTTATTTAGTGGACCTCCGAGGTGTTTTTGCTAGATGCTTCTGTATCCCCCAAATGAGGAAGATTTATGTGCTGTCTGGAGTGAAGTATTTACTAGGGGAAGTGAAATAAATACAGACTCCGGCAGAAGGAAGACGAGCTTAACTGTGGTCAGTAGGGTAGTAGTATGGGTGTAATAATTTATAGCTCTAACTTGAATATTTCACCTAAAATGTCGTATGGTGTGCTTGAATGTGATGTTGTTATGTTACAAAATTACATGCTTATGATTTTGTAATAAAAGCTTTCGTGATAAAAAAGGAACATTATTTGTGCCAGATCCTGAACATAAATAACAAAGAAAAAGAAACAGAATGAGTGATTTAGGCAGTATTTCTTCAAACTGTGGTAGATAGACAACAGATAGGGAGTGAGTTTATTTTAGGTGATACAGAGTAATAGACACATGTCTTTTGACTTTATTGCTATGACTTTATTTGAATGTGTGTTTCAAAACCACAAATGGTCCAGTGGAGGTTTGGGAATGAGAGGGTTAAAATTTCTAGGGGCGGAAATGGAAGGAACCGACATCGACATCAAGTACGATGAGGAGCCTGGAGGAAGGAAGGCTGGAGGGGCATCTGGGGAACACTCGAGGGGTCTTATTAATTTGGAGAGTCGGTCTCCGAACTGTGAGGAATAGGAGAGGCCATGACGGAGGGGACAGTTCTGCAGGGGACCTGGGATTCGGGGGCGGTGGGGAGCCATCTGAGAGGGGATGGCTTTGGTGAGGTTGGAGGAATAGTTGAAAAGGAGGGAAGGGAAGCAGCCGCCTTTCATTCCCCCTCCCCCCTCCGTCCTCCTGGGAGCCCTGGGGCCACCAGTCCTGCCCTGGCTGTCACCTGGGAGTGCTTCGGGCTCAGAGCCCACGCCCTCCCTTTCTAGTGCTTTCCCTGACGAGCTGTACTGGGAAGAGCACGGGATAGCTGAAGGCCACTCCCTTAAGTACCAACGCTTACAGCCAAGTTTCTCACCCTCTCCCTCAGATTCCACATCAGACGGAGGGGACTTCGCACTACCCACCAAACAGCTCTCACTGCAGGCTTGGTTCCCTCTTCTGACTCACTCACTGCACCCCCCAGTCTGCTGGCCACACACACGCCCGACTTCTCTCCACCCACATTACTACCCCTTTGGCTGGTCCAAGCCTGTGAAGGGATGCAGCCACCTCCTGATTGGTCGTCTTGCTCCTCCTTCAATCCATTCTCCCAAACTCACCTCTGTTGCTAGTCACCTGGTTGATGCTCACCTGGCCGATGCTCACCTGGGCACGACGCCCTGTTGTCCTTAGCAAGGAGCTCAAGATAAGATAGCTGGTGACGCACTGCGGGAACTGGCCACCGACCTCTCACATGAGCCACGATTCCTTTAGGATCGGAAAGCTGCCTTACAGGGACCTTGGGGACATACGCTCCTCTCCCTGGGCCTGGACGACTCCTCTTCAGTCAGCCTGAGCCTGACCGGCATCTTCCAATAGAACCTTTCACAGTGATGGAAATGTTGGGGAGCATTCACGAAGCTCTTCAGCCCTTGATACAGAGCTTGTGGAAACTGAGTTTTCCCCCTGGCTGGTGTAGCTCAGTGGATTGAGCCGGGCCTTCGAACCAAGGGATTGCGGTTTGATTCCCAGTCAGGGCACATGCCTGGCTTGCAGGCCCCCGCCCCCCCGCCCCGCCCAGCAGGGGACCCATGAGAGGCAACCATACATTGACATTTCTCTCCGTCTCTCCTTCCCTTCCCCTCTAAAGATAAATAAAATCTAAGAAAAAGAAACTGAGTTTTCCATTTATTCCATTCTAATTAATTTAAAGTTGAGAAGCCACACGTGGTTTGTGGCCAACATCTAGGAAGCCTCACACACCACTTCCTCTCTTTCCCCCGAGCCTTCTGGAATCTCCCTCTCGGTCTGGGTCAGACCCTCCTCCCTGGGCATTTCTGCCACCCACACGGGCCTCCTTGGTCCTCCCCCTGCCCCCGCGCTCCCCCGTCCCCGCGAAGACTGGCGCTGGGTGTGATCTAGCTTCGCGTGTGCAGGCGGAGCCCAGTGCCCGGCACTGAGGGGACACTTGGGAAGCATGTGCCGGTTTGAGGGACAGACTCAGCACAGATGACCCCGGATGTGAGGAGACACCGCTGAACGGGAAGGCCGGGTTGGCAGAACCTGAGGACACACCTTCCAGGCTGGTCTGGGGGGGGCCACCTCCCCGATGTCTTGTAAGAGAACATGTCACTTTGTATGTGACAGGGACAGGGAGTGGACGTCCCAGCAGGGGCCACCTAGCAGGTGCAGACGGAGGAGCGTGTGCGGCGGTGCGCTGGGAGCCGCGCGCCCTGAGTGCTTCTCCTCGGCTCCCACGCTGCCGCCACCTCCTGCACGGCCCAGCCCGGGTGTGCGGGGTGGGTTCCCCACTCGGGCGATGACGTGTGACACCATGTGGGTGTCCTGCAACCA